GGCGGCGTGGAGGCCCGTCTCTGCCCGCACGTACGCCTTCCAGCCAGCGAAATTACCTCGGCAGCATTTCCAGCTGCCGCTACGGGAAACGCGCTGACTGGGCAGGAAAGGCGAAGCGCGGCGACGGAGGGTCCGACATGTGACAGGACTGGATGCGAGCCTGAGGGGATGCATGAGGAAACGCTCCAAATCTTGGGTCTCTCCGCTTCTTAAAACTGCGTTTTGTAACGCCCGTGCCAACATCAGCCGTAGGTGTGGGAAGACGGCTTTTCGCGTGCATGCAGACTTCTGAGAGAGTTTTAAAAATCTGTCACATACTGATGCTGCAAAGGCTGAACGTCAAAGTGAAGTTAATTGCAATTGTACATGCAAGTTTGACAATTTTAAAAACCTCATTGAAATAAAATTGAGTATTGCCAGTGTCTTGGAATAGCGCATATGAGTTTATATAACAATGTTATATATCTGAGTGTACTGAAATGGCATACATGAAAGAACAAAAGATGTGCTAAGAGAAATAAGGCGTAGGCTCCTCTTTGCATTCAGAAGAGGGTCCCATTATAAACAGATTTATCAACAACCAGATCTAAAACACCACTCTCTCTTTACACCATGACTAGCCATTTTCTCTGTCTCACAGCTGGGGTGAAAAACCAGTATCGTTTCGCTTTTCTTTAATCTGGTCATGGGGGAAATCTGACTGAGTCTTCTGTTTCTCCTTGATTAGAGAGAAGGATCCCAGGGGAGCAGATGTTATTGAGAAAGTGAGACCGTAGGAAATTACCAGCTGGACAATTCTTCTCCCGTCAGGGACCAGTGCTGCTTCACACACCTGCGCCAGTCATTTGGACCTGCATAAACAACTCAGGTAAGCACTGTGCTACTCCCACTGCAGATTCCCCTATCAGATTAAACCAAAATTCCCCAGGCAATCAAGATGCAAGCTCTGAAGCAGCCAAACTCATCTGGCCTAGGAGGATGCAAATGAAAGGAACTTATGCGTCTACACGTCGCCATATTTTAATACCTACTCAACAATTCCACATTGTTGGGCTGATGATGAGTCAAAGGACTTCCGAGATTACTAAGTATCTTAATGTAATTGAATCAAGCTTTACGATTCAGTGCCCTGGGATTACTGAAGTGGCATCAAGAAAAAATGGTTTATGAAGTTAGTAATTCTGCATTTCTCGTTGCCTTTGTTGGATTGTATTGGATCAGCAAATGCGGCATGCTGGGATCGTCCCTGTGATAATAAACACAGTGAAACGGTCTTTTACTGTCACTGTTGCATGGTCATTTACTCAGCTCCAGTTTATTTGGGTTATGTTAAAAAACTAAATCTCGAAGCTATTACCTTCAGTTTTGTAGCCTTGAGTGAATAAATAGGTCTGTCTAAAGCTTCAGGTCATCACAACTATGGCCAAGTGGTCCGACATGATAAATGCCAGACTTGGTGAGGTTCACCGATTCAATCTATCCTCATGGTCAGAACGGCACTGAGGCAACTAAATCTCTGAGGCTGACGATTCTGGGTGTTGAATCACAGTTTTCCCTGCCTTGGACATCAGAAATGTGCTTCAGGTTGACTTGAGAGCTGATTTCACAGTGCAGGTTTTTGTTAGTACTAATGCAGTGACTGCAAGTTGGTGGTTAATACCTTGGGAAAAGATGTGCATCTAACTTGCTTGCAGACTTTAGGGAGTTACTGGGTGGCTCCAGCAAGCTGGTCAACTGCCCTTTTGCTGAAGCACTAGACTGTCAGTATGACCCCAGTGCATAGCCCTCCATGAAGCCACTCACTAAACATTTGAAGTCGAGGGGGGTAACCATGAATCTTTTCAAATGGTAGAGAAGCCATACTGCACATCTTAGTGGGGCTGAAAAGAGGAAACCACTCCGAAGCAGTTCACAGGCAGGAGATGACAGTCATTTCCCAGGAAATGACCACAGGTTCTTGCACAGTCTGCCATGGATCAGAACGGGCTGTGCGCCCAGGTGGCCCCAGGGGAACCTGGTTTTGCCAGCCCCGACAGCTCCTGTTGGGTTACTTCCATATCACTGGGCTTCTCATTGCTCAGCCACACCAGTGCCAGCACCCTCCTGTTCTGGCACGCGAGTCAGGAATCACACGTGGCTCCAGAGCTATGGACTGGCCATAACCAAGTTAAAGTTCACTGGACCTAAAGGTCCATCAGCAGCTGATGTCAAGACCAGAGGCTGTTAACCCCCCCGCTGCTTCAGGAGCTCTGTCCTGCTAACTGACAGATACGAGATAAGGCTAATGAACAAAAACCAAAGTACAAGCTTTCTCGATTACTCAGTCCCATCTTGGGTTTTGGGTATATTGATAAGACACGTATGTTTCTGGAATTACTAACTTGGTGTGTGTCATTAGCGCGACCTGCTGTGAACTTAGTTCTTCATCCCCAACTGCAAGAACAGACACACCAAGTCAGAACAAAGCAGGAACAGAAACCGAGCACTAGTGGGAAACCAGTGTGTCCGCATGTGCTGTAACACACTGAAATAACGTGTCTTCTGCGCTGATTTATGTTGAAGAAGAGTTCAGCGGTTAAACGTTGAACTTGACCATAAGCTTCCTGCGTAACCTTCACCCATAAAATATTCTCTGGATCACAAGGTTAATGTAAAAGGAATTGGGCTCCAGCTGAACACTGCAGTCCCGGTACCGATCCCGATGGAGCCGGGGAAAAACCCGAGCCTGGAGCTGTTACTGCTCCGGCTTTTGGGGCTGAGGAAAACGGCGAGAGCCCCGCTCCAGGGGACGGCGGGAGGTTCCGTGCGGGACAGCGCTCATCCCCGCGGAGGCTCCACGGGACGGCTGGGCCCAGGCCGGCACCGGCGCTGCCCCAGCGGGGAGAGCGGTGGGAGGCCCCAGAAGCGGCGGCGCTGCCGGGCACAGGCACCCGGTAAGGCCAAAGGGGGTGGGGGGAAGAGGGCGGAAGCGGCGCTCCTTCCAGCGCTCACCATAGAGGTGGAGGAGCGGCACTCTGCCCCCCCCACCCCCCGAGCCTCTGGCACTTCC